CAATTGAATGAATGATTCAGTGATAAAATCAGTGACTTACCGCCACCTGCTGGTGGATTTAGTTTCATTTTTAGCGTATAATTTCAGTTATTTAAATCATTTGTATTCAAAATATTCAAAATGTTATATTTAAAACATTAATCTCCACATGAATATATGAATTTAATTGCACCTCTGAGTCTTCTGAGTCTCATTAAAAGCCTCATTAAATGTCTGAAAATGTACCTACAAGCCACTTTTGTGTTCTTCTGTGCCACCTCTGTAGTACAAATTAATTTATTAATACTAATTTCATGTGATTGGTAACTTATTTGTCTTATTCTTATTATTATATTGTTTTAAATAGAAAAAGCTTATAGCTTATAAACATACATTTTTTTAATTTTACAGATGAAAATAATGCCATTACAAAGGTAAATACTCCTGTGTCAGCTCGTATTAGAAAGGCTAATTTTTGATCAGAATTTATTATTGATCAGAAGGTGCTCCTATTTTTTTTTTTTAATTAGGAGGACAAGCGCTCCTAAAAAGAAAAGTAAGCATAGAGTGTATCAGAGAAAGCTGAGAGTGTATCAGTATATTAGATCCGTGCATGAGGTCTTAAAGAGACAGCAGCCTAAATAAACCTGCTGCTGCCTTTCATTATACAGTTAAGACTATCCAGTGTTATTTTACAGTTGAGTATAGATTATAGTTAGACCTAACTGAAAACATTTATTGTTTTTGTTTGTGCTATTGATTGTCATTAATTTATTTGTTCTTATTTAATTTACTATTGTCTTTTTTTAGTTCAAATAAGGCCATATCCACACATACACGTGTATTTTTATAAACTGAAACATTGATATTTCATTGATATACACCACGTGTATAATTATTAGGCATGTTGATATTCTGATGATATTTGTTTTTCCAAGCACATTTGACCAATTCCAAACCACATCAATCTTAATAACTACTATTAAGTTTGTATTTAATAATTTATGAATGATATATAATTGTCGATGAAGGCTGGAAGTGAAAAACTCCTTATATTCAGGTGTGCAGAATTATTAGGCATGTTTTCTTTTACAGATAAAATGAGCCAAAAAATAGATTTTTTTTTTAGTCAAACATTAAATCCCCATGAGAAATATTAAAAACTAATGCAATACAGAAATTGCTAAGTTAAGAAATGACCATTGGTCAGCAAAATGCTCAATGGGTCAGCAGGGTCAGAAAAAAACAGGTGGAGAAGAAAAGACAAACGTTAACTGCAAAATAATTAAGAATTAATGTGAAGAATTAGGTGTGAAACCATCAGGAAGCATTTAGTCTCCAGCGCCACTATTTTCCAGAACTGCAACCTACCTGGAGTCTCCAGAAGTACAAGGTGTCAGGTTCTCAGAGACTTTG